GCAAGGACTAATAGACTCAAACACAGCTGTTATCCAACTGCAATAACACATCTGAATACTACAAAAAAATGTCCATCACACCACTCTTGTGTTAATCTATGCATGGTCTGAAGCATGTGTGTGGGAATGTATGTGAGTGTTTTACTGTTACGGCTTATTAATATTTTAAGTATTCTATCTATTTTATTTATTGAATTTTATTGTTTTATTTATATTTTGATATTGCTAGGGATGATGCAATGATCGGGGACCATTCTTAATTTCATTGTTCTTGTGACAATGACAATAAAGTTTCTGATTCTGAGGAGCAGCTGACATAAGTATTTTGTCACCATTTCCATTTTTGGCTTATTCCTATTAATATAAAATCCAATTTTCATTAAAATGTTACCCTTTAGTGGTTGCAGATGGTTGTGGAGGACCTGAGCTTTGATGGCACAAAGCAATTTTAAAGCTTTTGAGCATCGATTAGGGCATGTCCATTGGGCGACAGTGAATTTCAATCCTTTGCCACAGCATAAAAAGTGATTACAACTCAATTATACATTTCCTGAGCTGTCAAAAATTTCACACAGTTGATCAGCATACAAGTCTTAAAATAATTATTTTACAATCCAAGATCAAGGCAACCAGTCACTGCTCATTTCATATGCACATTTTCAGTGGTAAAGGCATGATATATTGTTTTAGTAACTAGAAATTGGCCAGGCAAACACCACAGAGGCCTCATACAGGAAATGCCATAATTATGTGTTTACCCCCTAATACTTGTATGTTATTTTGGTTTAAATTTGTTTGAATAGTTCAATATAAAACACACAAACAGATGAACTGAATTTCATAATTTGATATTTGTGTATTGTAGTTTACAATAAACCAAAATGAAAGTCATTAAAGTCAATGTTTAGTATGTTTGTTGTGTGTAGTTAGTGTGTTGTGTAGTTGATTGTTTTTTATGCTGTGTAAACACAGTCTCCAGGTGGAAAACAGGACGTGTGATACTGTTAGGATGCCTGGGTTGTTGACCCAGAGTTTTGAGTTTATTATATTATTTATTATTTCTAGTCTTTGGTTTCTTTGTTACAGTTCTGTCTTATGGTTTATGTCTCTGTGTAATCCTTAGTTGCTGTCTCCCCTGTCTGCTATATCCCCGTGTCCAGTCAGTGTCTGTGTCTGCCCTGGTCCCACGTCTCTGTTCCCTCTGTTGTAGTGCCTGCCTGTGAGTCTGTGTCTGTAAGTTCATTCTGTGTTATGTTTCCTGTTTTACTTTGAAAGTCCGTGTCTCATGTAAATGCGTCTGGTTTTGCTTCCTTTGTCTCGTTAGGCCTGATTTGCCCCAGCTGTGTTTCCCTCCTGTTACTCATTCCCTAATTGCTCCCTCTGTGTATTTAAGCCCTGTGTTTCAGTTTGTCGGTGTTGCGATCTACCCTTATCTAGCTGTGTGGTCTGTTGGCGTAAGTTCACCTTGGAGTCTCAGTTTTGTTACTTTTTTTGAGTTTAGCAATAACTCTGAGTTTGAGTTACTTTCTGTCTCCGGAGTCTGCACTTTGGGTCCTTTTCCTGTCTGCACACAGCCGTTTCATAACAGATACACGCCCTGCAAGTATCAGGGTATTGATGTTCTCCTTTATCTTATTGTGGACAGAAATAATTTTTTGGAGTGGAACAAATAATTTGTGTAGCATCTTATTTGATGCAGGACACCTGATTGTTCTGTGAACAGTTTGAAATGCTTATAAAAAAATCCCGGCCTTGGATGCATTTTTAGGTAAATAGCTGCATATAGCTTTGTTTATTGCACAACTGTTACTAACTCAATTACTTTTTTGAAGAAGTAACAACTATAACTAATTACTTTTCCAAAGTAACTTGCCCAACACTGCTTATTATTATTACTGACTCCTTTAAAAAGCA